TAACCTTTTGACTCTTGTAATACCATTTAGCTTAAAATATTGGAAAGCTGTACAAAGTATTTGCTTTATATCCTTATTCTGAATTTGTTTTTTGTAATTTTAAAATAGTACAGGTTTGTTCACACCCAGCATCATCACAAACATGTAATGTGTTTTTTTCCAGCTCCATTATAATCTTATGGGACCCACCGTCTTATATGTGGTCCATCATTGAGTGAAAGGTTGTTATGTGGCACATGACTGCAGTTCATTGTTTTTATCTTCCCAACTGTAGTATAAACATGAGAAAAGGGACTTCACTTTCTGAATACCTGACAGCATGGAGTCAGCTCAGTAACATCTACTCATTTAATTAACACAGTATGGATTTTTTTTAAGATGTAAAAAGACATTCTAATAGCTAAGAGTCATCCTAGGGGAAAACTGAATAGATGAGGTTAAACAAGGCCCCTACCAGGAGAGACTGCATGGTGAGGACACAGCATGGCTGAGGATACACAGGAACTTTGAGGTGGCAAGTTGGAATGTGGTAGAAATTGATTTGTCTGATATTTGCAGTATTAATCTAAACAAGCTGGTATATCAAATGCTTCCACATCTGAGAATAGGGAACTAGAACTGGTTGCTTTTGCAATAAGAGACCATAAAATAAAACTGAACATTTTCATTATCCTACATCTATCAAAGGTGTTAAAAAATTTTTGCTTTTGAAGAGATGAAGTGACTTTTCTGAAATATTAAACCAGACCACCCATGCACTCATTCACACTATAAAGTTTTTTCTGGAGTCCTGTGGTCCCCAACCCCTGGGCTGCCCACCGGTCTGTGGCCTGTTAGAAACCTGGCCACACAACAGGAGGTGAGCAGTGCGTGAGCCAGGGAAACTTTATCTGTATTTATAGTTGGCTCCCCATCGCTCACCATCACCACCTGAGCTCTGCCTCCTGTCAGATCAGCAGCATCGTTAGATTCGGCATTATGGTGAGTTGTATAATTATTTCCTTGTGTATTACAATGCAATAATAATAGAAATAAAGTACACGATAAATGTACCTGAATCATCCAAAAACAACCATCCCCACCCCCTGCCCAAACACTCTTCCATGAAACTACTCCCTGGTGCCAGAAAGGTTGGGGACCACTACTGTAGTCTACTACTGATACTGCCTTCCATTTAAGAAAATATATCAGATTTTGGAGAATTGTAAAGTTATTATCTAACAGCTCTCTGAATTTCTAAACTACTACAATAAAGATGCAATACCTGCAACTTCTGTTTAAAATTCAAACATTAAGTCAAGTGTGGTGCTCTATTTTGGTCACAGACATGTCACCTGTTGACTTCTAGAGTAACTTTTGAATGATCTCTTCTCAAAAAAACCAGAGCAAGGATACTGATAAACCAAGATTGTTCTTTACAGGAAAAACAGACAGTTGTATACTGTTGGTTGAGCTCACAGAACTACTTTTTTAAATGATACAGATGTTACATGTTGATAATGCAGCAGCTTTAGTTCTGGATAAAGGCAGACATGATACATTACCCTGTAGTATTGAAAGAGACAAATTAGTGAAAAGGCCAGGTTATTTCAGGAACTCTTATTCTGGCTTATCTCTTAAGGCTAAGTGGGTTTGTATCCTCTTTGTGTTTTTTTTTTTTTTTTTTTTTTTTTTTTTGAGACAGAGTCTCACTCTGTGGTCCCAGCTAGCATGCAGTGGCATCATCATAGCTCAAACTCCCAGGCTGAATAGATCCTCCTGCCTCAGCCTCCTGAGTAGCTGGGACTATAGGTGCAGCCAGGATGCCCCGCTAATTTTTTGTATTTTTAGTAGAGATAGGATCTCACTCTTGCTCAGGCTGGTCTCAAACTCCTAAGCTCAAGCACTCCTCCTGCCTTGGCCTCCCAGGGTGCTAGGATAACAAGCATGAGCCACCTCGCCACATGGATTATTTGTCAAATTCCATCACGCAAAAATAAGTATGTGTGGTGATTAGATTACTCATGACATCTAATCCAGGGTTGCTTAAGGAATCTCCAGATGCAGTCTTATTTGCAGGAAAAAAGGTCAAATTAATAATCCCATCACTCATGGCCACATCATTTGAGAGGATGGAGGAAGGTTCTTACACTAAGAATTTACACTAAGAATTTATTTTAATTTTAAATGGAATAACTACCAGTTTAATTTTGGATAAAACCAAAAGACCAAGGCCAGGGGTTTGATACCTACTTGATGATGTTACACAAGTTTTTGTTTCGTTGAAACAGCTCTCAGCCCTCTCTCCATTGTTGCCTTGGATCATGCCTTCATCCCAAGGGAAGCCAGTTGTGTGAGCATGGCTGCCTGGAGAAAGCTCAGAGTGCACACATACCTGCCAAGCACATGGCCTTTGGGGCCCTGTATGCGAGGAGGAAAGCATTGTGTTTATTTTTTTGTTTATGATGACATCCCATCTCATTCCACAGAAGGTTTAAGGCAAACCACCATCCTTAATCCACGATTTGAAAGCTTGATTCTTTAATAGGAGATGAACAGAAAACAGCTAAGAACAATGAAAGCTGTGAAAACAGTTTTAAAAGTTGAACTAACAGTATTTTATTTCTCAGCAACTCTATGTACACTAATTAAACATGAGATGAATAGAGTATTAATTGAGAAAGCAAGAGAAAATTCCTATCAACCCCAAGACTGGGACACAAAGGGAGGTTGGAAAAGGACTTAGATAGAGTCTTAGACTTCATACCCTTCTTCTGTTGCCTTTTCTGGGTGGAAAAGTTAAATCTTAGTGACTGGGTAAAAAGATAATCATACATGAAGAATATTCAAGTTGGAGGTGGCAACATGAACGCAAACAAAGTGCACCTTCAGTGACTGCAGGGGCACAGTGAGGCGCTATAGCTCACCAGGTACAAGCTCCATAACTTCTCTCGACCCCACTTTCCTCTCTGAAAATGAGGGAGTTACATACAATGATCTGTGAGGCTCCTGCATCCCAAATCCTGTGGATTCTCCCACTTACCCTTTAGAAAGCCTCACTGAAAGTAAGTCATTAATGTGATTTTTGCCAGTCACATTCCCTAGTGGTAAGAACCTCTTTTACTATAAATATTAGGAACCAACTCAGGTCAAACCTAATGTCATTGTTATCACTGGGAACTACGGAATACATAGTCATTTTCAAAATTAATGTTAACCTTTGATTTTTAAATCAGTTTTGTGAGTCGCTTACCATAAGCAAAATGTGTAAACCATGACAAAAATAACTATTTCATTTCTCTTTCCAAACATTCCCAATTTGTAACACTGTATATATTGTTCAACATCAATTAACTTGTTTTTCTTTTACTGTAGTAATAAAGTAGGCCCAGATCTGTCAACACAAACCTGTCCTCACTGTGCTCTGCTACAGGTATGCCCTTGTCAAGCTCTGTTTGGGCCCTTTTTGTCAAAAGTATAACCCATTCATTGCTTTTTTTGGTAGTATGTACTTATTAGAGAAGATTTTGCTTTGCCTACACAAATGAAGCAAAGTAAGTATAGACCACAAATGTTCAAGTTACAAGACACTTAATAGTGTTTTGTACATTAAAAATGGCAGAGGTTATTATACAAGTAGTCTTTTTAAAAATTCTCACACAAAACAGCTTTGTATTTAGACTTGTTTAAAACTGTTGCTAATGATGTTTGTGTTAACAGTCAGTGCTCTAGGCCATTGATTGTCAGAATAGGAAGTACTGCACAAGTGCATAAGCCAGTCATTCACTGTGTATACCAGTGAGAACAGAAACCAGCCCAGCGTGTTCTGTTCAGAGAAGAGGACTCCAGAGGGGAGAAAAAGGAGTTCTCTGTAAAGTCAATCTCCTTCACATCAGAAGACAGACTCTTCCTACAGGTTGCTTTTTTTTTTTTTTTTTTTTAACACAGTTGTAGTCCAGAATAAAGGAGTACCACTGCTGCCACACTTGAAGGAGAACTTGTGCTCTATTTTTGGTGTTGATCTTCTCATGAAATACCTATTAGCCAAAAATTTTGACAAATTTTATTAGATAGTTCAAAAGTACCCCACAAAACCGTCTAAAAGTCCAATTTTTCCTACATAAAGTACGTACTCATTTCCACAATAATCATCTTTAGATGTACATTTTACTTAGTACATTTCACAGCTCTGAGTATCCAGTCCCTCATGAATATTTTGTAGTGATGTCTTCGGTCCTGAAGTAAAATATGTGAATTCCAGCTCAATTCAGAGTGTATGATTCCGCTTTTCACGCTGATCAAATAAATTTATGGCATCTCTTTTCTGATCTTCAGCAATAAAAACTAAAAAGGAAAAACTCACACATAACATTCTAATATTTTAACATCTTGAGCAAGCAGCCCAGGCAGGTCCCATTTTGCATAAGTTTCTAGAAAGTGTATCTCCCATACCAACACTATGATTTGGAATTGCATTCCTAATCAAGGGCAAGATGGCAAAAGAGACCATATACATATGGCCAACAGTGTTTCATGTAACAAAGTTAAAATACCCAAAGATTCCATAATTGTTTAAAACAGTAAAATAATGCCCCATGTCCTATAAAATGGACAAAATAAAATGTGCTTTCATTAAGCTTTAGTATAATCACAGCCCTCTTATATGGCATGACTCCCTTGCTACTGCACCTTCCAGGAGCACACGCAGCCTCCTGAAGAGCCATCCATGGCTTCAGACAGCTCCTGGTACTCCAAAGCTCCCCCTGGACAGAGCTGAAGTATGTGGTTTCCACCATCTGGTCTTACTCTATCCTTTGACACACAAAGGACATTTAATGACTATTAATTAAATGACTGCCATATTAAATTAATAGTGTCTTTTAAAGTCTCTAATTAAGTTCAAGCTAATGCCGTTTTCTTCTAATTTCCCTAGAGCAACCAGTGTCTTAAACTATTTCAAAGACATAATCTTAATGTTGAAGCTTATGTTGACATTTCTTGAACTTAACACTATTTCTTAGAAGAGCTGACAGGGCATTTATTTTTTTGCCTTGCCTACCTCACTTTGTTTAAAACCTTGCACAAGGTCAAGTCTTTAGGATACCCGAGTGTAGGGGATGCAAGATCACAAGGCTTCACTGCAAAGCCATGCATTTTGTAAGACACTAGGCCCATTTAAAAGGTTGTTAAAACAGATGTGACCAGACTGTGAAACATGCTCTTGAAGAACTGAAGTATACAAATGAGTGGAGTCAATGACCCCAAGAACAGAAAGATGGAGAGACTCTGTATTTACTTATCATTCTTACTGCTAATGTGTTAACCTTTTGCCTTTTTAAAAAAAATTACCTCAGAGTCCTTGAAAATAACTTAAAAATCAAGTTAGGACTTCCATTTCTAGAAACTCCAAACAACTGTGCCAATTAAAACAACTGACATCCTAGATAAATACAAAAGACAGTGTTTAAGAGTGCATGGCTGGATCAGACAAACACAAATTAAGGGACTTTCTACAAAACAACTGGGCCATTGTACTTCAAAAAAGATGAATGAAATGAATGATAAAGACAGAAACAGCTCCAGATTAAGGGACACTAAAGAGGTATGACAATAAATGCAGTGTGTATGATCCTGGATTAGATCTTGAATGAGAAAAAAGATTAGTTGGACATGCATTAAATTTGAATAAATTCTATGGGTTAGATAATAGCATTATATCAACATTAATTTCCTTATTTTGGTAGTTGTACTGTGGTTATATAAGATGTTAACATTTGGGGAAACCTTGATGAAGAATATACAGAAATTCTTGTTACTACATTTTAAAATCTAAATCATTTCAAACTGAAAACTTAAAATTTTTTTTAAAATACTAAAACATTAAGAATAATGCATTGCCCATATGGTAAAAAAAAGAAAGCATTTGCAAGGCCAAAAATGAAGGGGAAGCAAGCATCAAAGCCAGGATTGGCTCTGACACTGAGGCCTGAAGATACTAGGCTTCTCCCGTCACAGCTTCAAAAGGTGCAGGGGTACAAAAACCAAAGACTTGGGCTGCACTCAAGGTGGGGTGTCAAGTAGGGGACCACCCACATAAGCCAGACACCCAAAGGCTCACATCCCTGGTTGAAAGATAATGGGAAATAAAGCTGACCTGAAAATGGGACAGCAAAGAAAGCCTGTGTGTGGAATGGGGCGGGGCGGGGGTTTCTTAACCACATGAGGACTAACCACAAGATGTCTGAAGGTTTATAATTTGAATTCACATTTCCTATGTGATCCAAAAAACTTAAAGAGAATTTAAGGAGGCTGTGAGTTAGTAGTGCCCTCATTTCAACTGGTAGGGGCAAACCACCTTCTCTAGTGAAATATAACTGTAACTCAACCCTTAAAGACTTACCACAGAAAAAGTCCCAGGAAAACTAGTAGCTCAGTTAAAAAGCACAAAACACACAAGGAAACAAGTTATCGTGAATGAGCACCTGCAGAAAAAATAACTAAAAAACTTACCAGTTAAAGAGCAGATAAGGTATAGCTGAAGAAAACTTTGTGAACTGGAAGGTATTTCTGAGGAAATATTCTGAATGCAGCCCAGATAGGCAGAAATGGAAAATATGAAAAAAGAAGGTAAGAGACATGAATAGAATGAGATCTAACACTTTGAATCTGAGTCTGAGAAGGAATCAAAAGGGAAGAAGCATTATGCAAAGAGATGTCTGAGATTTTTTTCCACAGGGAATATCCTTACCAGCTATTAAAGAAAGCTGTTATGTTATACTTAGAATAGTATGGTACAGTGTGAATCCACAGAGCAACTAATGGAAGAGAAACAGAAAGTCCAAAAATAGACCCAAATACATATGGAAATTTAGTATTTGGTAAAGGTGGCATTGCAAATGGTGATTTGAAATGGTGTTAAGCCAATTGGATAGCCCTTTCGAAAGAGATCAAACTGGACCCATACCCTCAAGCCATACCAACATTCAAATGAACTGGATCTTAATATAAAATATGAAAGCAGAGGGTAATTCTGGAAAGATGGTAGTAACAGTGGAATAGTTTTTAAATCTCTCAGAATTCCTACATAAAGCAATTGAATTAAACTCAAAAATCATGGACATTTACAACAAAATTAGATGACAAGGAATCCTGCAGACCCTAAAATTCAAGCAGTTAAAGGGAAACTGTGGACAACCACTCGTGTGTTAGCAGCGTCTAAAAAAAACAAAAAAACAAAAACAGGGAAGCAATGGAGCATGTGATGGATGTGAGAATAGGAGAAGCCCAAACATCCAACAGGTATACATCAGCAAGTTTATGGGCCAACGGGAGAACTGCCCCTGGGAGTGGGAGGGGTCCTGCTGCTCTCATAGAAGGTAACCACAAGGCAGCCATGGCACAGGTTAAAGGGGCTGGCAGAGGCTAAGCCCATGGATTCCTGAAACTGACAGGACAGCGCTCCTTTCTGGGGTTCCTTCCCAGGCAGAGAAAAAGTGCTAAATGTGGAGGGAAGATTGCAGGACATGAACAAGAGAAACAAAGGAAACCGAAGTCTCAGATAAAAGTAGGCAAAGAAGCCAAAGAAGATGAAACAATTTGAAACTTCACAAAGGATAATAAATGCAATTGAGTGAAACCAATCAAATATGTTTATATCATTGTAAGTTATAATGATATTAATATAAAAAAGAGGTCACCTTCAGGGGATGATGGGGATGTAATTCATTATTCTGAAAACTGGTAAATAAAGAGAAAGAATCAAGCATTTATCCTGCCTATCCTATACGAACAATACCGCTGAAATGGCTATAAGAATATTCCAATTAACAAATGAAACACATGAATTAACAGACGTAGGTACTGAGCATCAAGTACTGAGCAACATCACAAAAAGAGCAACATCACACATTAGGTGCCTCCTGATGAAAGAATACATCACTACCCATCATCTGACCAAGGGCTTGAGCCTGAACCTGAGTCTGACCAAGCCTATGGATCCAGCTGCCAATCTGCAGAAAATAGAACAGAAGAACATGTGAAACTGGCCCAGGAATATACAATCAGCAACATTCAAACACTGGGAAACCACAGGTTACATGGCTTAGGTTTTTAACAAATTATAAAGGAAAGAAAGGAATGGAGGGGAAACCTGTAGATTAAGAAAGACTTAAAGACACATCAAATTTAAGAAAATGAACAAGACTATATACTATGGGATCCAGGGATGCCCACTTGGGTGATAAACCCGTAAATTCAAAAAAATGCTTACTGTAAAGGTGAGGAGAGCTGATACTCTTAGAGAGAGACGATGCTGTGACTGGGACAGGGGACACGGAGGGGTCTCTGGAGGGGCCAGCCAAGTTCTGTTTCTTGACTGGGGAAGCAGTTACAAGGTGTTCACCTTCGAAACCTCATTTGTTTCATGTGGTTTTCTAAATCTGTGTTTTACTTTGTAATAGCAACTACAAGTAAAACTGGAAAGCATTCTGGATGAAAACATATCAGACGAAAGCAAGGGTGAATTCTTTCCAACACTGAATAGGCAAGCCTCTCTAACTATGACTCAATATGCAGAAGCAATAAAAGATTCAAATGTTTGAAACTTTTGCGTGACAAACATACCAAAGGCAAAACCAAGAGAAATTGAGAGAAAGTATTTGCAACTTAACACCACAGATAAAGGGCAATCTCCCTAACATACAAAGAGCTCTTACAAATTAAGAAGGAAAACACCAAGAATCCGACAGAAAAATGAATTTTAAAAAAGGACACCATGAGTCCATAGTGATACTAAAACAAGTGTGTTGGGGTTGGGGAGGGAGTTCCTTAAAGAATGTCAGGTAGTAAATGCGCAAAGACAACAATTTAAAACGTCACCATTTAGGCAGTTCATCAATGAATGGTAAAGCCACACCATTTCAAAGCATCCTCTTCAAGATGACATTAATTACAAAGAGAAAATGGACCTTTACCATGGAGAGACCTGGTAGGTGCCACCTTAGCCAAGGCATCAACACCACCAGTAAGAAAAGCTGCCATTTTGTGTCTCCTGGTGGGAAGCAGAAGGAACAAAACTGTCGCTACAAAAATGTTCAACCTGAATCCATCATAAGGAAACAGACATATCTAAAATTTGATATATTTGATAAGACACTGGCCTGGACTCTTCAAAAATTCAAAATAATAATAAAGTACAGCTATAAAAGCTGCTTGGAAGCTCTGTGCATATATTAGAGCTTTTTCATTTGTGATGTAGACTGATCAAGTGGTGACCTAGCCATTTTGTTGGGTAGTGGCACTGAAAACAAATCCTCCAACGGACACCAGAGGGCTTGAGCCCCACTGAATATGCAGACTTTCTGAAAGGTCTTCATCACCTTGGGGTTTGCAACCCTCACCTTGCTCCACTGCCCTTACTTTCAAAGGCTCCTGAAGAAAAGACAGTCTCCTTGAAATGATCAATTACTTAAAATATTACTGCTGGGATTCGTAGGACAAAGTGAAGGACCAGAAAGAGAAAATGAAAGGGGATCCACTTCCCTCCCCCTCTCCCACTACCACCATCACCACTGTTATTACCATTTAGGTTTTTGTCATTCCCTGCAAGGGCTGCCTGCTTGTCTGTTTCAGATTCCGCTTCATTTTCATCCATGTTGTAGTCATCATCTCCTCCCGCTTTTTGCTGGTTTCTCCCTGTAAAATTAGCCCATAAAATATAAGCTGCATCATTTGTCTCTTGATGCCACAGGAACACCAGAGCCCAGGTGCTGGGGTTTATCCTGCTCATCCCAGTCAGATCTTTTTGCTACCTCTCTGGAAATGATAGGGACTCATGTGCTTGCTTCTGCTATAAAAGGCTATATTCCAGGCTGGAAGTGGAGAATCTAACTAGCTAACTAAAACAAAATCCCAGTTTTTTAAAGAAACAATCATCTCAAGGTGAAAGGTACCGCTGTTCTAGGAAACAACAGATTTCTAATTAATGACAACATCTCCTTTGAACAGCTCGTTGCTCTGAGAGAAGAAATGGAGTTGTTATAGTGTGCCCAAGGGTAAAACTGCCCATCATACTTACAGAATTACAGTGTTGATTACTACGTTCATCCCTAGAGAGAACAGCAACCAGAAAAGATCAGGACATAATGCATAGAGACCTATTCAAAGGGTTTAACCTGAACATTCTATATTTGTGTACAGATGGGTAAACAAAATCATTTTTGTTTTTTGAAAAGCATGCCAGGAAAACCAGCTCTAGTTCTATTCTATTTCTCTGCACTCACTGCCTGAGGTGGAAACAAAGCACAGGCCTGTGTGCCCAACAGATTTATTCTTCAAATGAGATCACTACAACTGCATCTAGAACCAGGTACACATCATGCAGGGCCTGCGGTATCAAAGGTCCACCTTAGCTGTTGCACTTTGCGACCAGCTGCTGAGTGGTCTGACACTTGAGCCCCACTGGCCGAGCTGCCCCAGTGTGCTCTCCCGCCCTCACACCATGAGCACCTTGCTGGGCAGGCATGGCTAAGAGAGACCCAAGCAGACCCAAGCAGGAATGCTGTCAGGGAGGCTGACAAAGTGCAATTCTCTAACTGGAGCTTGGGAGGACACATTCTTCAGAACGAGAAACTAAAGTGAAAATTAGATTGGAATCAGGGTAACTTCTGCAAATAAGCATATTTTCCAACTTTTGTTACTTGGTCTGCCCCAGATCTCAGGTGTCCTGTCTTCGGAAGTGCTCCTGGCTCAGGTAGGATGGAAATTTTCTACATCTTTAAGGGACTGAAATATATCTCAGAATATTCTGTTGATCTCAGAATATTCCCACACTTTATTTCTTTAAAAAGAAAAAGGTAAACCAAACCAGAAAGGTGGGGTTCACATGTCACTTTTCCTCAATGCTGAAATATGTGTTAACCTCCATCTACCCAATCATTCCTTCCTTCCCTCCTTCAATTGTTCATTCACCAGGCACTGACTGGCTATGTCTGCTGCACCAGACACTGCATGAGGAAGTGGAGATACAAAGACCAGGCATGGGGACTGCCTGCTAGGGGGGGATGCGCATTCCAGCTCATCCACCTGCAAGGTCCCCTTCACTTCCTATTAATATTGTTTCTGAAACCTCAAGCCCTAGAGTGTGTGCTGCTCTTCCTTGCTGACTCCCACTTGATAATGGATTAACAAACAGAGAGACAAAAAGGAACTACCAAATCATGAAGTGCTGTTAGTAAAATTCAAGGGGATCTGTCTGGTGTCAGGAAGGAGATCGAGAGGGCTGAGTGGCAGAAAGGCATGTGCGGGCAACCACGGGGCCTCTAACCCACCTTCCTCAGCAGCATCCTGCTCTTCCTCCTGCCCGTCGGGGATGACAAGCTGGTCCCGCTCAAGGCCCTCAGTCTCCTGATTTTCCTGGCTCAGCAACAGGGCAGCTGGTACTTGTGGGGTTCGGCTCAGTTCTCTGGCTCCCCCCAAGCCTCTTCTGCCCACAGGTCTGTCCTCCACAGCCTGCTCCCGGCCCGGCTCCTGTGGCAGCCCCAGGCTGTCCCTCTGAGGCTCCTTCTTGCTGACAAACTGGATCTCATTGGTTTCCTCTGTGTACAGAACAGTTACCTGTGACCTCACCAGCATTGAATTAAAACAAACAACAACAAAACAAAAACCTCATGCCACTCAATTCCCAGAGCTTTTCCGAGGAGAGGGGATGGGGTGGGCTGCATACAGGGGAGCAGGTGGGTAACTTATTTTGTAACCTCAGCAGCAGACTGCAGGCCTCTCTGTGCCTGCGGCTCACCTTCAGAACCACAAGGAAGAGAAAAGCACTTTAGAAAAAAGAAAAAACTGGACTAAATTAACTCAACAACTACAAGTGGAGGAGGGTGTGCTGCTGAGTTATCTGATCATTGTGTCCATCCGAGACAAGTACTTGGCAGCTAGGGCATGCCAGTCAAGCCAGGAGTCACTTACAGACAGTACAGCCCCCTTGGTTCCCAATGACAGCTACCTGGGACTCAGGCACCTCTCCCCTTAACACCAATAATCCCACTGATGTCCTGAATAAAGGTGCAGCCTGGACCTTTCTCTCATAGCTGCCAAAGAACAAGGCACTTAGTTTATAAGGAAAAGACATCACTAAGACAGAGGAGAAGCCCTGCAGCCCCAATTCCAGGTGCCCAGAGAGGCACTGCCCTGCCTCCTGGCAGCCCCACTGCCGAGCTCACCCACTGTCTCAAGCCACACGCTCTGCCCATGGAGTCTCTGTATGAACTGGAATACGTGAGCTGCTGCTACTTTTCCAAATTGAACAGGGCTATGGAGGGGGTAAAAATGCAACTTTCCACTTACCTTTCTCACGTCGACTCTTCAATTCCAAAGCCACCTCGGAACTAGGGGTCGGCATCTGGGACTCACCATCACCGGCTGTGTTTCTTTTCCCTTGTGGCACCTCTGCCTGTGGCAGGCCTGCTTCCTGCGGCCTGGGCTGAGGCTTGCTGAGGGTTTGGGGCTGAAACAAGAGCACAGGGTGGCAGGGCTCCGTGACCAAAAACCTTACAAGAACCCCACACAATGCAAAGCACCACCATATCCTTCCCACAAATAAGAACAACAACAAAAAACCCCAAGAAATAGCACGATCTGCTCTGGTCATGCCCCATTGCAAGGCCTAAATCAGAACACGTGAAGCTGAATCAAGGCCTCCCAGAAGGCACTTTCAATGTGGGATTAATAGCTATGCAGAAGATCAACAGGGGACAGGACATGAACACCACAATAACCCAACCAGACTGAACAAACATCTATAGAACACTCTACCCAACAAGAGCCAAAATGCACATTCTTCTCAGGTACATATGGAATATTCTCCAGGACAGACATATGTCAGGCCACAAAGCAAGCCTCAAGAAATTTAAATAACTAAAATCACACAAAGTATGTTATCCAATAACAACGGAATGAATTATAAATCATGAATCTTAAGAAATTCACAAACATATGAAAATTAAATACCATACTCCTAAATAACCAATGAGTCAAACAATAAATCACAGGGCAAATTAGAAAATGCTTTGAGACAAATGAAAACAAAAATACAACATACCAAAACTTATGGGAGGCAGCTAAAGTAGTGCTTAGAAGGAAACTTACACCTCTAAACACCTACATTAAGAAAGAGGACTTCCTTCCAGTTTTTAGTGCCTCACGTAAGGAGCTTAGAAGTCACCACTCAGTCCCGACAAAAACAAGTAAAAAGCTCAACAAACTGAAAAATCATCAACTCTTCTTGGATCCGGAAGAGACGTGAAGACACAGAGTAAATCACTGCCCCTAAGACTAGAGACAGACAGCCACATACAGGGAGTCGTGGCCTGCCAGGCCAGAGACTCGAGCAGAAACCACCGGGGAAATCAGTGTCGAGGGAGGAAAACCTGAACTGTAATTGATGAATTAACTGCTGGAGGCTTAGTGCGGACAAGCCTGAGAAAACACTTTTGTGAGTTTCACCTCCACGAGCTTGACCAGGTTTCTCACAGAGACCACTGGAGAAAAATCCCCTCATGTTTTCAGCAGTGGGAAGGGAAAAGGAACCATTTTGAAATAGGCCAGAGCACTCTGTTCTCCTTAACAAAGCCTGTCCTCAGGAGAAACTCAGAGCCTAACTTGCTAGGGTACGATCAGAGCCTAACTGACCTGAGGGAAGGGAAACACTCAATGCCAGTGAGCTCTTGCCTTCCATGTGGGAGAAGGGAAATGCCCAACCCCCAGCCCGTTCTCTAGCCATCCTGTCCCACGTAAGGGGTGGGGGAAGTGGATACCAACAAGTACATGTGAAGTTCACAGCCAAGGAGCAGAGGCTCTTTAAAAGACTAATCATAGAACTATAGAACACCTTCCTCCCCCCACAACATACCACCACATTACTAATGGCTTATATACAACAGTTCCTTTTACCCACTATATCATGTCCAGCTATCAAGAAAAAATTAGAAGGCATGCTACAAAGCAAAAACACGATTTGGAGACACAGAACAAGCATAAAAACCAGACATGGCAGACATACTGGAATTATCCGATGAAATTTCTAACAACTATGACAATATGCTAAGGGCTTTAATGGATAAAGTAGATAGTTTGCAAGAATGGATGGGCATTTAAAAAAAAGAATGAGTGGGCAATATGAGAAGAGAGATAAAAATCCTAAGAAAGAACCAAAAAAAATACTAGAGATAAAAAAGCACTGTAACAGAAATGAAGTATGTCTTTGATGGGCTCATTAGCAAAGTAGACACAATGAGGAAAGAATCTCTGAGGCTGAGTATATCTAAATAAAAACCTGTAAAACTGAAAGACAAAAAGAACAAAGACTGAAAAAAACAGAACAATCAACAGTTGTGGGACAACTCTGGTATGAGAATACCAGGAAGAAAAGAAAGTAACAGAAGTTACTCTGAAATATTTGAAACAGTGACGACTGAAGACTTCCCCAAATTAATGTCAAACACCAAACCGTAGATCAAGGAAGCTCAGAGAACACCAAGCAGGATAAACACTAAGAAACCTACACATAGGCATACCATTTCCAAACTACAGAACATCAAACATAAAGAAAAAAATCCTGATAAAAAACAAAATTTTTAAAAAAAATAATCCTGAAAGAAGCCAGAGGAAAAACACACATTACTTATAGATCAACAAGATAAGAATTACATCTGACTTCTAAGAAACCATGCAAGGAAGAAGAGAGTAGAGTGAAATATTTAAAGTGTTGAGGAAAAAAACCACCAACCTAGAATTTTGTGCACTGCAAAATTATCTTCAAAAGCGAAGGAGAAATACTTTCTCAGACAAATTGTGATTTGTTGCCAGTAGACCTGTCTTGCAAGAAATGTTAAAAGAAATTCTTTAGAGAGAAGGAAAATAATATAGGTCGGAAACTCAGATGTACATAAAGATAGGAAGAGCATCAAAACGGGAATAAGGTAAAATAAAACCTTTTATTTTCCTTATTCTTAATCTAACAGATAACAGTTTGTTCAAAATACTATTAGCATCAATATATTCTATTATGTATGCTGATTTATGTAACCTATGTATATCTGCCTGCCTATCTAGGTTTATACATAACTGAAATGAATTACAGCAATAATATAAGGGATAAGAGGGTAGGAATAAGGATTATTTTGTTACTACAAAGTCCTCGGATGACCTCTGAAGTGGTATAGTGTTATCTGAAAGTGGCATGAATTAGCTGTAAAAGTATATTGCAAACTCTAAGGCAAACACTAAAAAAAATTTAAAAATGAAACTAACTGATATGCCAAGGAAGTAAAGAAAATAGAATTATATAAAATGTTTGATTAAAACCACAAAAGGCAGAAAGAGTGAAGACAAAAAGAGGAACAAAGAACAGGATAATGAAATACAAAACAATAAAAAATATGGCAGCTACTGCTCCAACTTATATCAGTAATCACTTTGAACAATAATCACATTGTCAATGGTCTAAATGCATCCATTAAAAGACAGACTGTCAGAGTGGATCAAAACACAAGATCTAATTATATGTTGTCTATAAGAAACCTACTTTACATATAAAGACACTATAGATTAAAAGTAAATGGTTAGAAAAAATTTTTTAAATAAAAGTAAATGGTTAGAGAAAATATATCATGCTAACACTTATGAAAAGGAGTAAACAAATTAATTTCAAACAGAACAGACTTTAAAGCAAGGGAAGTTACTAGGAATAAAGAGGGGCATTACAAAATGATAAACAGGTCAATTCTCCAAGAAGACATCCTTAACATGTATGTACCTAGCAACAGAGTATCAAACTACATGAGGCAAAAACTGATAGAATTGTAAGGAGAAATAGATGAATCCACTGTTATAGCTAGAAAGTTCAAAACCGTCAAATATGGATAGATCTAGCAGGCAGAAAATCAGTAAGGACATCGTTTAACTAACAGCACCATCAATCAACTGGACATAATGTACATCTATGGACGACTACATCCAACAACTCATTACACTTTCTTAAGCTCACATTGCACATTCACCAAGATGGACCATGTTATGGACTATAAAACACACCTTAACGAATCTAAAAGAACAGAATTTATACAGTGTCTGCTCTCAGATCACAATGGAAGTAAACTAGAAATCAACAACAGAAAAAGTAACTGGAAAACCCCAAAATACGTGGAGATTAAACAACATCCTTCTAAATAACACACAGGTCAAAGTAGAAATCTCATGAGAAATTAAAAAAATATTCTGGCCTAAACGAAAATGAAAACACAACTTATCAAAATTTGTGGGATGCAGTGAAAGCAGTGCTTAAATTTATAGCATTGAATGCATGTATTAAAAAAGAAACAAAGTTCTAAAATCAAATAATCTAAGTTTCCACCTTAGGAAGCTAGGAAAAAACCTAGCAACTTAAATCCAAAGTAAGCAGAAGAAAAGAAATAAGAATTAGAGCAGAAATCAATGAAATTGAAAAAAAGAAATCAATAAAGAAAAAAAATCAATGAAATTAAAAGCTTATTCTTTGAAAAGATAAAGTTGATAAGCCTCTAGCCAGTCTAATTAAAAAAAAAAAAAAAAAAAGGGCCAGGTGCAGTGGCTCACGCCTATAAACCTAACACTCTGGGAGGCCGAGGCGGGAGGATCGCTTGAGCTCAGGAGTTTGAGACCAGCCTAAACATGAGTGAGACCCCATCTCTACTAAAAATAGAAAAATTAGCTGGGCGTCGTGGCACACACCTATAATCTCAGCTACTCAGGAAGCTGAGGCAAGAGGATCACTTGAGCCCAGGAGTTGGAAGTTGCATTGAGCTATTTATGATGCCACTGCACTCTACCTGGGGTGACAGAGTGAGATTCTGTCTCAATTAAAAAAAAAAAAGAAAAAGGACAGAAATTACTAATATCAAAAATGAAAGGGAAAATATCACTCCAGATCCTATGGAGAGTAAAAAGATAATAAATGAATAGTATGAACAACTCTAGGCATGTAAATTTAATAAACTAGATGAAATGGACCAATTCTATCAAAGACACAATCTGCCAAAACTCACACAAGAAAATTATACAATCTGAATAGGCCTATATCTATTAAAGAAACTGAATAATTAATAACCCTCCAAAACAAAAAGGATCAGGCCCATATTGGTTCACTGGTGATTTCTACCAAACATTTCAGGAAGAAATTATTCCAATTCTCAATAATCTCTTTCAGAGGATAGATGCAGAAGCAATATAACTCATTATATGAGGCCAGCATTACCCTAATACCAAAATGAGACAAAGACATTATGAGAAAAGAAAGCTACAGACCAATATATCTCATCAACATAGATGCAAAAATCCTTGACAAAATATTAGCAAATTGCAAATCAAATCCATAGTGTATAAAAAGAATTAAACACCACGACCAAGTAGGATCTATCACAGAATGGAAGGTCTGTTGAACATTTAAAAATCAATTAATGTAATCCATCACATCAACAAGCTAAAAAAGAAAAACCACATGATAATATCAACAGATATGGAAAAAACATTTGTAAAGTCCAAAACCCACTATGATAAAAACTCTCAGTAAAGCAGGAATAAAGAGGAACTTCTTCAACTTGATAAAGAATGTAAGAAACTTACAGCTAACATCATACTCGTCATACTTAGTGGTAAGAAACTTGAAGCTTTTCTAAGATCAGGACCAAAGCAAGCATGCCCCCTCTCACCACTCCTTTTCAACATCGTTCCAGAAATCCTAGCTAATACAATAAGATAAGAAAAGGGGGGAAAAAGTATACAGATTGAGGGGAAAAAAAGCTATCTTTATTTGCAGATGATATGATCATCTATGTAGAAAATTGGAAAGAATTGATTAAAAAAAAAAAAACCTCCTGGAATCAATAAATGATTATGGCACAGTTGTAGGATACAAGGTTAACATACAAAAGTCAATCACTTTCCTATGTATCAGCAATGAACAAGTGGAATTTGAAATTAAAAAGACAATACCACTTGCATTAGCACCCCAAAAATGAAATAAAAGGCCGGGCGCGGTGGCTCACGCCTGTAATCCTAGCTCTCTGGGAGGCCGAGGCGGGCGGATTGTTTGAGCTCAGGAGTTCGAGACCAGCCTGAGCAAGAGCGAGACCCCGTCTCTACTAAAAAATAGAAAGAAATTAATCGGACAACTAAAAATATATAGAAATATATAGAAAAAATTAGCCGGGCATGGTGGCACATGCCTGTAGTCTCAGCTACTCGGGAGGCTGAGGCAGGAGGATCGCTTGAGCCCAGGAGTCTGAGGTTGCTGTGAGCTAGGCTGATGCCACGGCACTCACTCTAAAGCAATAGACTGAGACTTTGTCTCAAAAAATATATATATATATTATAATAATAATGATAAAAAAAAACAAAATGAAATAAAAAATTAAATATTTAAGTATAAATCTGACAAAATTTGTACAAGATCTATATGAGGAAAACTACAAAACTGTGATAAAAGAAATCAAAGAACTAAATAATTGGAGAGAGATTCAATGTTCATGGATAGGAAGACTCAACATTGTCAAGATGTCAGTTCTTCCCAAAAATGCAGAAATAAACTGAACAAAAGAAATTCAAGATTTCTTAAAACTATAAAACATTGTCAAAAGAGATTTTTAAAAGGCCTAAATAAATGGAAAGACAACCCACATTCGTGGATCATAAGACTTATTAATGTTAAGATGATAATATTCCCCAAACTGATCTACACATTCAACTTAATCCCTGTCAAAATTCTACCTGCCTCCATTGAAGAAACTGATAAGCCAATCCTAAAAGTCATATGGAAAGTCAAGGGATACAGAATAACCAAAACAATCTTGATAAAGAACAACAAAGTTGGAAGACTCACACTTCCTGATTTCAAAGCTACAGTAATCAAGATTGTGTGGTACTGCCATAAGAACAAACAGCCAGCACAATGGAATAGAACTGAAAGTCTGGAAACAAACCCTCATACTTATAGTACACTGATTTTTGACAAAGTGCCAAGACAATTCAGTGGGGAAAAGAATAGTCTTTTTCAACAAATAGTGCTGAGACAACTTGATATCCACACGCAAAAGAATGAAGTTGGAGTTCTACCTCACATTATATGCAAAAATTAAATTAACTCAAAATGGGTCTTAGGCCTAAATGTAAGAGATAAGAACTATAAGACTCTTAGAAGAAAATTTAAGAGTAAATCTTCATGATCTGGGTTTAGGCAAAGTATTCCTAGATACGGCACCAAGAACAAATGACAAAAGAAAAAAATAGATAAAATTGACTTCAACAAAATTAGGACTCTTTGTGCTTCAACTAAACACCATCAAGAAAGTACAAAAAGAACTCCCACAGAATTGGAAAAAAATATTTGCAATATCATATCTTTATATAGTAGAATATACAAAGAACTCTTACAACTCAGTAATAAAAATAACTCAATTTAAAAATTAGTGAAGTATCTGAATAGATATTTCTCCAGACAAGATATGCAAATGGCCAATGAAGAACGTGAAAGGATTCTCAACATCTAATTAGGGAAATGCAAATCCAAACCATAGTGAGATACCACTCCATACTCACTAGGAAGGATACAATGAAAACAGGGATAATATCAAGAGTGGACAGGATGTGAAGAAGTAGGAATGTAAAATGGTATGGCCATTTTGGAAGACAGTCTGGTAGTTTCTGAATAGATTAAATACAAATTATCATATGACCCAGCAGTTCCACTCCTAGGTAGTACTAAGAGAAATGAAAATATATGCCCACACAAAAACTTGTATACAAACATTCATTCACAGCAGCATTATTTACAATAGCCAAAATGTGGAAACAACCCAAATGCCCATCAACTGACAATGAATAAATAAAAATGTGGTCTACCCATACAATGGAATATTATTCAGCCATTAAAAAGGAATAAGGTACTGATACAGGTTACAACATGGATAAACCCTGAGCATTATAATAAGTAAAAGAAGCCAGACAATAAAAGCACATACTGTGTAATTACATCAACAGGAAATGTCCAGATAAGGCAAATCTAGAGACAGAAAGTAGATTAGAAGTTGTCTAGGGTTATGAGGATTGGAGGTAAATGCCAAGCTGGCTAGTGGGTACAAGGTTTCTTTTAGAGCAATAAAAATGTTCTAAGCTTTTGTGGTTGCGCAACTTGATATACCCAAAACCACTGAATTGTAAACTTTACATGGGTGAATCCTAAGTGAAATACATCTTAGTAAGACTACTACGTATAAAAACAAACACAGATCTCCCAGGAGGCCTGGAGCGGCAGTTTCACGGCCTGTGCTGTGAACAGAAGGCGGGCTCACAGTAAAGACGTGCAGTCTGACAGACTAGGCTCTGGATGGGCTCCGCCGCTGACCAGGCGGTGTGACACCAGCCACGGAACGCGACCATCTCCATGAGCCTCAGTGTCTTCAAAAGAGGCAAATGGCAGCAAAGCTCTCCCAGGTTGGCTATGAGCTTTTTTCTTTTTGCCCCCACATCAATAAGCTGGTCTAGGCCGTGAGCTTTAAATGAAATAATTTCTGTAAAGGCCTGAGATTGGGAACAGGGACTGGAGGCCAGCATGCAAGGTGAGGACCAGGTCTGCTCTGTTCTACCTCAGGGAACCAAACCCACAAGGGACAGCAGAGATTAGAGCAAATCAGACAGCGGATAAAAGGAACAAAATGCCTAAAGAGAAGATAAGAATACCTCCCAGAAATCCTCGGCAGAAGATCCCCAAAGTTACCTGCTGACCTGGGTCTCTTTTTTCACTCAGGTCTCGGGAAGCTACAGCTTCATTTCCCTTTTTGGTGACCTCTTCTATTCGCTCCTCACATTGCTCCTTCACTTCCTTCATCTGATTGATGCACTGGCTCCTTTGGTGAAAGAAATCAAAAGAAAGGACAAATATCTCTGGATGTGTCCCTGCTGGACTGTGAAGTCCACTTCAGTAAGAGACATAGGCCATTTTTTCCTGCATCAGGCACTTTATCTGAAGAGGGCACTTAAGATAGGGCAACATGTGTGTTTCCAACCATCAAATGACCAAAAAATTATAGTTAACTGAAACTCACTAAAAATTGTTCACATTGTTCTAAAACAGGTGAACTTTATTGATTAGGAAAACAACAATTTTTCAGCCAAGCATGGTGGCATGCATCTGTAGTCCCAGCTACTCAGGAGGCTGAGGCAGCAGGATTGCTTGAGCCCAGGAATCTAAGACCGGCCTGGACAATAGCAAGACTCTAGTCTCTTAAAAACAAATAAACAACAGCAATAAAATTTTTTAACATACAATCTATAGAGTAAAAACAACAACAAAAATATATATAGAAATATTGGTCTTTGTCCCTGGCTACTGGCACAGAGCTCCTAAAACCCTTGGAATTTCCTGACAGGAGTGTCTTGATATTCACAACAAGGCCCTCTGGACCAGGGAGAGCTTATGTTAATGAGGTGACTCATGGGTGTGGGGCAGGGAGGGGTGTAAGGTAGTTTCGGGATGGGGAGTGACAATCAGAAGAACCAACCACATGACTGGAGGGTTTGAACTCTCAGCTCCGCCCGCTCTGGGGAGGGGAGAGGGACAGGAGATTGAGTTCAAGCGCATAGCCAGTGATTTAATCAGCCGTGCCTATATAATGAGACCCAGGTAAAAGCTCTGGATCATGAGGCTCAGTGAGCTTCCTGGCTGGTGAACATAAGGATACAGTGAAAAGCTGGAAACCTGACTCCACGGGACAGAAGCTCCTGCCACCCACCCCCCACCCCATTTACCTTATGAGTCTCTAATTTGGCTGTTCTGTCACAGTAAGTATAGCTCATCTGAATTCTGTGAGTCATTCTGGCAAAGTATCACACCTGAGGGGGTGGCAGGTAGCTCTAAATTTGTAGCCAGCAGGGCAGAAGTGACGGTGGCTGGAGGACACCTAGGACTTGTGGCTGGCATCTGAGCTGAGGGCAGTCTTCGGGGTTAGAGCTTCCCAATCTGCGGGGTCTGTACTAATTCTGAGTAGTGTCAAAATTGAACTGAACTGGAGGATACCCAGTTGTCAAAGAATTGCTGTTGGAACATACTTTAAGGCATCACTTCTGCTCTCTGCCTGGAATTTATTTTAAGAGTATTTCAACAAGTATCAGAGCTATAAAGTAATTGAAAGAATCACCTGCTTATTTTGCAAATAAGGAAGCTAAGGGATGACTTCATTGTCTGCCGTGGACAAGGGTCACAGAGAGAGAAACTGCTGAGGCTAAAACTAGAAGCCAGACTCAAGGTTTCCTGCCTGTGCAGGGCTCTCTGCCATACAGCCGGCCTTTTCTGCGTTGCAGGCATTTGGGAGCCACGTGTAAGTACTACGCTAAATCTCTGACTCCTGGAATATACCCTTCAGTTCAAAGCACCACTGGGCCACAGTGTACCGCACACAAAAAGGCTATCAGGTACTTTAGAAATAATGAAATGCATAGTTCCTGACCCTAGACAGCTGAGAGATAAAGTGAAAAATTCACTTAAATAAAATTCTCACAAACATACAAGCCACAGGTGGTAGACTAGTACAAAGGAGCTTAAACACAGCCAAGAAAGAGAGACATATGAACACTGGAGAACTAAATGAGCAGGTCATTTGCTATCCCTGAACCGTTAAACCTACAAAAGGGAAGTGCTAGTTTCACCCGCTCCCAGCCCTGCCAAAATCCAGTACAAAGACCCTCTATCTCTGAGCCTTGCAGATGAAAGTTCAGCTTTCCACATTCCAGCTCAACAACAATAAGCAGAACAATCTCATACAGAGCTCAATTCTGAGACACAGGTCACACAGACTGTGACAGGTCTTATTCTCTGAAGGCCTCAGGCTGGCCTTTTCTTGCATGTATATGGTAAATGTTTCAGCATTAACAGGAGCTAAACTGGAGAGACATTCAGGACTTGGCCACTAGTAATTATTCCGACTGATGTAACTGATGGCTGGAGTACCATTAACAGAATGTGCCCAATACAGGAGTCTATCAAGGTGCTGATCCCATCATCCAGGACACTGACTGTAGGAGTATTACAAGCACACTCCCATATCAGCATTTGCAAACTCCGTTTCCTCATAGCATGGAGATGAGATGGCTAGCAGTTCATCTCATGTGCTGACTCTAAGTGCTTTGGGGAGAGAACACAAGACTACGTCTGAATCTAGTGCAGTGACTACTTAGTGATAGTTGCCACAGGTGTAGGAGTAAGAAATGGGATGTGTGCCGATTCTGAGGAAAGAACATTAACTTGTGCATGAGGAAACCTTGCCCTTCCACCTCAGCCCTGCCTTCTATAAAAGGATTAGACCAGACAGAATGTTTTAATGGAGGGTGTGAGGGTATGTTTCAAGGGACCTATGAAGTCCCACAAATTGAATGCACAACTTTATGCATTTATCCATTTAAAAATTTGCTAACAAAGTGTCCATAGCTTTTATCAGATTCTCAAAAAGAGTTTATAATGCAAAGAAAGTTAAGAGCAACTAGCTCTTTCTAGCTTTCAACACACCACCAGGAAGCATCTGTAACTAGTACAGGGTCTTGGGCACAACTAGTGAAACAGAAGAGTCAGCCGGAAAGAGCTTTCTCACTAGGCATGCTCTGTTGTGAGAGAAAGGAGTGCATCCTGCATGCATACCCAGCCAGGTCAGAGCTGATCACTCACCGCCCTGGATCTGGCTCTCCGACATGGAGAGCAGAGCTTCCTTCCCCCTCACTGGGCCCTGGCTGATTTCCAGCTAGGTCAAAATCTTCTGGATCGATGTTAATCGAGTGAGGTTATTAATGGCTTTTTGCATTTTAAGCAATGGAAGAGACCTACTCTTATTAAGGGATCTTTTCAGAATCAATAATTAAATAAGGCTGGGGTACTTCATTTTTGTCTAAATGCAATTCCTTGATTATCAGCCTAACTCAGGGTTTCTCAACCTTGGTGCTACAGATGTCTTGGGCCAGATAGAACTTCACTGTGAAGAGCTGTCCTGGGTACTGCAGGATGTTTAGCTGCATCCCTGGCCTCTCCCCACCAGATGCCAGTAGCACACTCTCACCAAGCTGTGAGAAACAAAAATGTCTCTGAACATTGCCAAAGGTCTCCTGGTGGCAAGATTGATCCCCCTGAGAAAAACCGGCTTTACAGATACTTAAAGTCCTTTCAGAAAGCAATTTGGCAATTTACACCTAGTGACAAGCTAATAAATCTACAGTTGAGTCTCTTAGAAGGAAATAATCCAAAATAATTTTTAGAAGATAAAACATTTTGGAGCTATATGGATTTTTATATGTAATGAAAGTAATAAAAAAATTTTAATTAAAAATAAAAGAGGCTATAGTTCATCTATTGTCATTATTTAGGGGACAAATTATGACAGTGAATATTTTTTCCCTTAAAATCCCTTTTATCATTGCATGTCTGTTTTATTTTGAAAAATAAATTTTTTGTGATAAAAAATACATAAATCAAGTGAAAAAATAATTTTAAAAATTTTATGGTGACTGCAATTATGTTAAAAATTCATATATGGCCAGGCATGGTGGCTCACACCTATAATCCCAGCACTTTGGGAAGCCAAGGCAGGCGGCTTGCTTGAGGTCAGGAGTTCAAGACCAGCCTGGGCAATGTAGCAAGACCCCATCTCTATAAAAAAATTTAAAAATTAGCCAGGTGTGGTGGTGTGCACCTGTAGTCCCAACTACTTGGGAGGCTGAGGCAGGACGATCATTTGAGCCTAGGAGTTTGAAGCTACAGTGAGCTATGATGATACCACCGTACTGGGCAACAGAGCAAGACCCTGTCTATTAAAAAAATTTCATATAAACTTGGGCACGGACTGAAGAGAGGTCAGACGAGGGGAAAAACAGTCACATGAGGGTTGGGTCATGGGTGGGGGCAGTTCTCTCTGATCCCAAACTTCCCGTGCTTTAATTATATTGTTACATTGTTTTCATGAGAAAAAAGGGGGGAAATAAACAGACTACGTTATTCTCTACCTTGTAAATTGTTTTTTACTATCTTCCCATGGGTTTAGGCCACTTTTAAAAAGTTTATTGCTTTGCTTTAATTATAAAAGGACTCCATTCTCACTGCAGAAATTTGGAAAAACACTGAAAAGTCTCAAGAAAACAAAACGCCCACAATGCCATCACCCAGCAATAAATCGTATTCATATTTTGCCAAAACGTCTTTTAGTCATGGGTTTGATTTAGCTCACATCCGAGCACTTTGGGAACACATTTTTAAAGGCTTTAGGCTCTTGATTTAACCAGTACACCTGTGCTTTATAGAGTTTTAAGTTATGCTATGTTTTAAAGTATGCTCAGTAATTCATTTCCTGCTGAGAACTGCCGTGTGTGTGTGTGTGTGTGTGTGTGTGTGTGTGTTGTGTACCTTTCTTATTTATTTTGTATTATGAGCCTGCTGGCTAACTCTTACTCATGGCTTTCTGAAGCATTGCTGACACAAAAGAAAATGCAGCATTTCTAAAGGACATGAACCTTAGACTGTTCCTTTCTCACAGAGGCCTGTGTGGACCAGAAGGTGTACGCTCTATCACAGGAAGAGCTAGTGAAGGTTACTTCTCTGCCTGCTGCCCTTGCCTTACAACTCATGAGCCTCGCGAGAGGCATGCACTTGGCTCTGAGACGCACTTACAGGTCGTAGGAGAACTTCCTCTCCAGGTTGGTCTGGTTCTTCTGAAACTGGAGGACATCCTGCTGCAGCCTGCCGTAATTCCGCTGCAGAGTCTTTAACTGGTCTAAGCCAAGAGGAGGACAAGTAAATACGACAAGGCAGACGTACGCGTGGGAACAAAGGGCAGGGACACAAAGGGACTAAGGAGGGGACAGAGAAAAGGCCAAGAACACAGCCCTTCCCTAGTAATCACTACACCCCAGCCTTGGAAGACCAGCAATCCTAAAGGAATCTGCATCTCGATTTTTTTCCAAATATCTCTTTTAAATCTCCTTTTTGGCCTTCAACCCTTTAACTGCATTAGGAGCTTCTATTTCCCTATTTCTGTCTTAGGTATTGTAAGCCCTGAGCTGTCCCAAACAGTCACACACACCACTGTGTCCCTCAGCCCCAGCAGACTTACCCTTCTGTCTGAAAAACACTGATTCCGACATCTGGGCCGATAAGCAGCCACTCCTGCAGAACCCCTGCCCTTGGCCAGGCTCCTGCCAGCATGCTCCTGTTGTTTATTCACAGCCACGCTATTCTCCAAGGCCCTGTGCTCGTTTAATCACCCAACCCTCTTATCGGGGACGCAGCAGCTTTGTTTGGGGAAATGCATCAGCCCGTCCACACTGTGCTAACAACTCGGCTCGCGGAAGCTCTGTTGGAAGGAGCAGCAGCTGCCAAAGGGCCGAGCTGTGGCGGGAGGAAGAGCAGCTACAGAGGTGACGCCAGAGCTGGCAGACAGCAGCAGCTAGGGCTGGGGCACAGCCGGTGGCAGACGGGCCGGGACAGAGGTCAGCATGCCCTGAGGTCTGTCCTCACCACACTAGACCTACGAGACTCCACGTGGGGGGGTGGGGATAAAATTAAATAAAACTGAAGGATTTTATGAACTATTGATACATACAACAACATGGACCGATCTCAAAAGCATCTGTATGGCATGTTCTAGAAGACAAAGCTGTAGCGAGAGAGAACCGCTCCATGGGTGCCTGAGGCCCAAGCGGGGAGGAGGACTGACTACGGAGGGCTGGGAAGTGGGGTACCCTGGGGTGATGAGTGTATGTGGTGTGAGGCTGAGTACCGGTCAGACTCACATGACTGTACACTACAAAGGGTAACACTATAGTATATAAATTAGACTTCAATAAAGCTAACTTTAAAAGATTTCACAATCCAACTAAGTATGAGACAATGGAATATCACTCAACAAAAAAAAGAAATGAACTACTGATATCCATAACAACATGAATAAATATCAAAATAATTGTGCTAGACTGGACATGGTGGCTCGTGGCCATGTAATCCCAACACTTCGGCAAGCTGAGGTGAGAGGATCACATGAGGCCAGGAGTTTAAGACCAGCCTGGGCAACACAACAAGACCCCATCTCTACATAAAATGTTTTTAAAAATCAGCTGTGTGCGGTGTTGCACACCTATAGTCCCACCTACTCAGGAGCCTGAGGCAGGAAGATCGCTTGAGCCAAGGAGTTTGAGGTCGCAGCGAGCTGTGATGACGCCACTGCACTCTAGCGTGGGAGACAGAGTGAGATCCTGTCTCTAAAAAAAATGTTTTTTTAAATTATGCTGAGTAGGCCAGGCGCGGTGGCTCACACAAGTAATCCTATCACTCTAGGAGGCCAAGGCAGGAGGATCGCTTGAGCTCAGGAGTTCAAGACTACTCTAAGTAAGAGTGAGATCACATCTCTACCAAAAACAGAAAAATCAGTCAGATGTGGTGGCACGTGTCTGTAGTCTCAGCTACTTGGGAGGCTGAGGCAGGAGGATCACTTGAGCCCTGGAGTTGGAGGTTGCAGTGAGCTAAGATAATGTCACTGCACTCCAGCTGGGGGTACAGAATGAGACTCTGTCTAAAAAAAAAAGAAAAAAAATCATGCTGAGTGAAAGCAGCCAGACAAAAAAAGGTATGTACGATCTGACTGTATATTCAATTATTAAAAATGCAAACTAATCTGTAAGGACAGAAAGCAGATCAGAGGCTGTCTCGGGGTGAGGTGGGAGGAATACCAAGGGGCACAGGCAAGCTTTAAGGGATGATAGGTTCACTACACAGCGTGACTTTGGTGGTGGTTGTGTGACATGCATGCATATGTAAAAGTTCATCAAGCTGTACACTCCGTGTACAGTTTACTGTGTGTCAGATACATGATTAAAGCTGTGGAAACATGGAGTATGGGAAAGGCTGCAGGCCACATCCCCGCCTGGGGACTGACCGGTCTCAGCAGCAGATACAAGCACTGAAAAGCCCCCTGCAGTCAGGTAACCTCTTTGTTTCCCCAAAATAAATTCCCCAAAACAAATTTGACAAAGCAACCTCTTTTCACCTAAGACCAGTTAATATTCTTAGAACCTGATTTGGAACTAGAATTCTAAACTAGTGCTGTCTAACAGAACCGTAACACAAGCCACACGGGAAATTCTTAATTTCTTAGTAACCACATTCTTAAAACGTAAATAATATTTAACCCAACAGATACAAAATATTATGTCAACATATAATGACTGTAGAAATTATGAATTTTTTTTGTATGCAAAATCCTATTTATTTTTTTATTTCAGAATATTATGGGGGTACAAACATTTTGGTTACATATAATGCCTTTGCCTCGCCCAAGCCAGGGCTACGAGTGAGCCCTTCCCCCATACAGTGCGCTCCGTCCACTAGTTGTGAGTTTACCCCCCCCACCACCCCCTCCCGCCTGACCGGCACCCAGTGAGTATTACTACCATGTGAGCCCTTTAGTGTTGATCAGTTAGTACCAATTTGATGGCAAGTACATGTGGTGCCTGTTTTTCCATTCTCATGATACCTCACTCCAAAGATATTTTAAATTCTTTTTTCATATTGAGTCTTTGAAATGTGGGGTGTACTTGACAATTATAGCATGTTTCAATTCAGTTGTTAAATTTTCATTAGAAATTCTTGGTTGGAATTTAGATTTCATGAAATTTACAATTAAGAAGTAGACCGATATACACACATTATCCCAAACATATTTCAGTTTCCAAATAACTGAACTGAGTATCAGTTTTAAAGTACCGAAAATTTAACAAAAATAAAAAATTCAGTTCTTCTGTCCCACTGGCCACGTCAACTGCTCATCAGCCACCACGGCTCCTGTCCCACTTTATAGAGGTGGGAACTCAGGCGCTGGGGGTTTACGGGAACCTCCTAGCAGGACCAGCGCTCCTTTCGCCATGTTCTCAGGCCACGCTGCGCCCTGCTGAGCTGACCCTCCAGTCACACGGAAGGGGAGCCCCCATGTAGAGGCCATCGCCCATCTCCTGCCCCACAAAGCCCAGCTGCCAAACAGAGTCAGAGTAGCAAAGAAATGGAATTAAATGGGGCTGGACAGTTTTCCTAAGTATCATGAGGAAAATCTAAATTCAGGGTGACCCAATTAAAACAGGCCATATATATATATACCATATATATACACACATATATGGTGTGTATATAAAACAAATCACATATATATCATATATAATATTTAACCTTCATCAATGAGAGTCTGGATTCTTCTGTACATAAGAGTTTGCAATGTATTATTCAGCAATATTTTTAAAAGGGAAAGCCTTTTAAGGAGATCTAGTTAAGCAAAAAGGATAGACTGAAGATTGCTCAATTACGCATAACACTACCCATCCCCAGATTATAGGAGGAGAATGGCCGGTGGCCCCAGAGAAGGATGAGAGGACAGGCGGATTGCTGCTGGAAGGCCGGTGCCTGGCGTTGAGGCGGGCGTGCACTTACCCTGCAGGACTCTGATGAGCCTCTCCCCTGTGGTGATATTGTTCACCAGAACCGCCTGCAAGGAAGACAAACACAAAATAAACACCGGCAACCTAACAACGTGGCCTTAACGAGATAGATGTGTTGGAAATGAGGGAAAGGAACCGCCCCCTCCCCCAACCCGAAGCAGCTGTCAGGGGAGGGGCCGGGCAGTCACCATCGGGCTGGACTATCTGATGTCTGCAGCCGAAAAGGAACACACCTGCTTAGAGGTTTGCTTTCCAACCACCAGCCTGTACCCTGAGGAAGGAGAAAACGGATCCCGGCTCTGTTCCAGGCCAAGGACACCGCGGCTGCTCCATAAAAGGCTCCCCCAGGCCTGGCTTCTTTGCCCTCCCTGGAGGGTAGCACGTGCACAGGCACCTGCAGGGCTGGATCAGCAACCCCACAGCACACGTCCTCAGTCAGAAGCTGAACTCCAAATGCCAGACTGGCTAAGAACAAAGGAAAAGGAACGCACCAAGAGGCCTCTGCTAACGAGGCCAGTTGATGCATTTGAGCTTCTGGCTGTGCTTCTGTCCACAGTCTGCGCTTAGGGACGCGGGTTCACGCATAGTCAGTTATGCCAGGGGGAAAGTCAACAGCAGAGAGCGGAACCCAGCCAGGACTCAAAATAATAATAAAAAGAAGTGAAAAGTAAGAAGAGCAAGTGTCAGCGTGTAGCGAGTGGCCGGTGTGCGCTGGGGAATCGCTCTGCCGGGGGCTCTGCTAAGCACTTCCCGTCTGCTTGCTCGTTTACTCTTCCTCACAGGGGTATGAGGAGGAGTCTATCACCCCATCTTAGGGGACAGGACAGCGAGGCACAGACTGCTTAAGTTGCTCAAGGTCCCTTGTCTATTAATAGGAAAAGCCAAACCCCAGCTCCGAAAGGCACGCTCCCGAAAGCAAGTTCTTCGTGGCTACTTGCCAAATTGCCACAAATATGAGTAGGACACCAATTCAGGGGACTGCGCCCAATGCTAAAAACAAGCAAAAACCTAAAAAAGAGGGGAACAGAATATAAGACATTGAAGTACTTCACACAGGTTAAGTGTTTAGTGAACAAACACACACAGCACATGTGTGCTGGGCCACACTGTGAAATTTCTTACTGTCACCAAAGTTTGCAAATACTCCACTCCTTGACGTGCTGCCATGACATGGAGATACATTTCTGGCTAGTGGTAGATGATGAGAACCACACCATCTCCTCCTCCTCTGCCCCCTGCTCCCTCTGCGCCCTTTCTGTGCAGCCTTCAGTCTTTCTTATGCCTAAGCAGAGAGGGGGCTTAGCAGAAGCAACAGCTTTCCAGGATAAGGTGTCACGAACACAGGGATGCACGCCCAGAAACGACAACTAACCACACAAACCTGGTGTTTATTTGGGAGATCTGAGGATACAGAACATCTCCTGGGGCAACAGATAAGAGGTCACAGTGATAACATGTGTAAAATTCATCTCTCAGGGAGAGGTTATCCAGAGGGGTGTTTATAAATATTCTACAAGGACAGGGGTAGAGGTAGCAAACAGGAAGTCAAAGAGGGACCCACACGGTGGAATCAGATTTACACAGCTCCTAGCTCCTGCTACTCTCGGAAAAGCTTACAAACAACCAGTTGAAAAGACAAAGGATTACCATATGACCATGTAATCCCACTTTTGGGTATAAACCCAAAAGAATTCAAAGCAGGATCCCTAAGAGACATCTGCACCTCCGTGTTCCCTGCAGCATTATTCACGATAGCCAAGAAGGAAAAGCAACATAAGTGACCCCAGATGGAGAAACGGATAAGCAAAGTCTGGTATATACATACACTGGAATATTATGCAGCCTTCAAAAAGGAAATTCTGACACAGTACAACACGGATGGACCTCAAAGACATTATGCTAAGCGGAAAAATAAGCCAGTCACAAAAAAACAAATACTGTATGACTCCACTCATGTCAAGTACCTAAAGTAATCAAAATCACAGAAACAGAAAATAGAAAGATGGTTGCCCAGGGCTGCAGGAGGGGGAGAGGGAATTGGTGTTTAGTGGGTAGAGAGTCTCAGTGTTGCACGATGAAAAAGTTCTAGAGCTCTGTTCCTTAACAATGTGAATATACTTCACATCACTGAACTATACACTTAAATTTCTACTGTACCTAGATATCGAAACCACCTTCCCTCTCAACATTATAGCGCTAAAACAGAAAAAAACAAAAAGGAAAACTTAAATAATTATATGCTGATTATCTTCAAAGCTGATTTCTCCTAGGTGAATCATTTCTATAAAAATTATGGCAATTTGACTGGTTTCTTTTCCACCCATTCCCCTTAGCCTCTTCCCAAAAAATCCATATTAGAGTTTGCAGCTACCTGAGGGTCCAGAAATATTTGTCTCCATGTGACTTTATTCTTCCAAGGAAAATATGTTTTCCTTAATCTTCCCCCACCTATTTATTTATGCATGGAAAAACACAGCCTCCACGTAAAATGAAAAATGATCAGAAAATACCATCAAGATCTTTTACATACAGCTTTACATTTATAGAAAATATCTTGTTGAATCATTTTCAGGAAAACTATGAAAATGCTTCCCAGCTTCGTTTTAGGTTCAACATATTATAAGGAAGAAAAAACCCTACATTCAAATGAATTACATATTCTACTCTAAATTTTTCCATCAACAGATGGAAAAAACCCAGTTGTTTTCCCCATTTTGGTGCAGTGACTTTGGGGGGAGCTGCATTTCCTGATGCTTGTGAACTGTCCTCAGGGAACACTCACAGACGAGAAAGCAATAAGTGCCACCAGAATTGAACTGCAAACTAAACTCAAAGGTATCAGTGTGAATCACCCATGTACAAATTTATTATAACCACTCTATTATGGGAAAAAAGTACATTTGATCAAACTATTTCTGCATTAGTCCTCGGTAAGTACAGTGGTGAAAGAAGGAATTAGAAAAAAAATTTTAATTATAATAAAATAAATAAGATCAAAAATAAAAAATTAAGAAAAAAATGAAAATATTTCTGCCTTAGATTTCTAGAAAAGTATGCTCAACATTTCATAATAAATTTTCAAAGCAACAAATCTACAATAATTTAACACATTTTGAAAGCTCAATAAGATATAATGACTAATTCTTAAAATACTAATATTCGAAAAGCTCACTTGGAAGCAGAATGCTGATCACATCATAAGGAGCTGAAGTCAAGGCTGGTTTTATGAGAAAAGAAAGGAAAATGAGAAGATGCTGAGATAAACTTCTGGTTTCTGAAGCAATTCTGGGTAGTTCAAGGACTTTCAGAAGTATAGATTTTTACTGTGTGCTATTTCTTACTTGTAATTTCACTCCTAAAATTAAGCAGTTTTCTTATTGCAGTATATAGCTCCATCAACAATTATCAGTTTTGACAAAGGCCTTCTGAGGCCCATTAATGGGGAAAAGGGAAGGAAAAAGAAAGAGAAAGGTAACAGAAAGAGAGCAACAGAGACAAGATAGGGTGTGGAAAAGATTTTCTTGAAGAAAATGGTAAAGACTTGAGACGTGTGGATTCTGCTTTGGGGTCTGGGGCTAATTTGCTCCTGGACCTCAGACACATCACTTGACTTCTCTGGCCCTCTGTTTCCACAACTGCGACCCAGAGGTTGGCCTGCTGAGTTTCAACAGGGGCACAGGAGGGGCGTCTTAGGTGGGACTGTTCTGTTCTACTGTCCCCCACAGCAGCACATTCAGCATCCCTGCCCCCTCACCCCTTCTGAATGCCAGTAGCATGCTCCCTCCTCTCCACTGTGTCTCCAAGACAAAAAAGAGGAGCCCCACCTCACACTTTTGCGAATGACCCCAGGGTGCCAGCATGGAGGCTAGAGCACATCTGTTCTTCTCTACAAAGGATCCCCTGCTGCCCTGTCTACACAGAAGGAAGACAGGAGCCGGGAGTCCACACCATTGCCCTCCAGGCTCACCCCGTGGTGGGAGCCGGTCAGGGAGGGTCTCTCCACAGAAGGCCTGAGTGCCGGACGGAGAGACATGGCGGTGTAGATGACAACCGAAAATCCTGCACAGCTTTGGCGGCAGCACAGCGAAGCTACTACTGTCCGAGCCCACAGAGGTGGTATTCAGGGAGGGAAAACTTGGGCCTATGTTTTAAATTCAAAGCTAAGAACCTGCTCCTGGGGGTTAAACAAAACCCTGCAAGGAATATCTCCAGGACTCTAGAAAGCAGAAGAATTTACAACTTGGATTATTCAAGGTCCAGCAAATTGTAGGGGCAGAGAGAGAGAGACAGAGTGTGTGTGTGAGAGTGAGTGTGTGTGTGTGTCAACGTGAGTGTGAGAGTGAACGCAAGAGAACAAATCAACGTAAGAAATGTACTGAAAACATTATGCTGAGCGGACGAGCCAGACGCAGAAGGATAAATATTACATGATCCCGCTTACATGAGGTCCCTAGAGTAGTCGCATTCATAGACAGAAAGCAGCACTGTGGCTGCCCGGGCTGGGGAGGAAGAATGGGGAGTTAGTGTTTACTGGGTGCAGTTTCATTTTAGGAAGATGAAAAAGTTCTGGATATTGATGATGGTGATGGTGGTGCAAAAATGTGAATGTATTTAATGCCACTGAACTGTGCCCTTAAAAATGGTTAAAATGGTAGTTTTTAGGTCATATATATTTTACAATAAAAAAAGGATGAAGAAAAGGAACGGGGGTGTGGGTGAGTTAGGGAAGGAGCGGGTGAGTGTGAGAGCAGGAACAGGAGACGTGTTTAGGAGACAGAGTCAGACCTCAGAGTATACAGTCAGATCCCGTTCAGAAAGGAGCTGAGGCGGCTGTGGGGCAGAAACGCAGGTGGACCCACAGGGTGCGCAAGTCGGGGAACTTTCCTGGAAGGTCGTGGGCGGGATTAAGCACAACTGTACGAAGCTTTAAAAAACCCCAGAACATCACCTATCTAGGAAAACACCTAGGACACACAGCTCTACGCACACGAGACAGCTCCTGCCAAAACATCCCCGTGTTGTGTCATTACAGAGTAAACAACATGGC